TTAGGTTTAGGGTTAGTATTAGTATTTGGTTAAAGGTTTAGGGTAAGGGTTAAGGTCAGGGTAAGGGTCAGGGTTCGCGCGTGCGTGCCTCACTCACAGCTCTGTCGTCTCTATGTTGCGCGCCGTGCCCTCGATCGTCGCGCAGTACGCCGACGCAAACAAGGTGACGATGCTCAGCTTGTTTAGGGATAGGATTAAGGTCAGGGTCAAGGTTAGGGTAAGGGTTAAGGTCAGGGTTAAGGTCAGGGTTCGCTCGCGCACGTGTGCCGCACTCACAGCTCTGTCGTCTCTATGTTACGCGCCGTGTCCGCGATCGTCGCGCAGTACGCCGACGCAAACTTGGTGACGATGCTGAGCTTGTTTAGGGATAGGATTAAGGTCAGGGTCAAGGTCAGGGTAAGGGTTAAGGTCAGGGTTCGCGCACGCGTGCCGCACTCACAGCTCAGTCGTCTCTATGTTGCGCGCCGTGCCCTCGATCGTCGCGCAGTACGCCGACGCAAACTTGGTGACAATGCTGAGCTTGTTTAGGGATAGGATTAAGGTCAGGATCAAGGTCAGGGTAAGGGTCCGGGTTCGCTCGCGCACGCGTGCCGCACTCACAGCTCGGTCGTCTCTATGTTACGCGCCGTGCCCTCGATCGTCGCGCAGTACGCCGACGCAAACTTGGTGACGATGCTGAGCTTGTTTAGGGATAGGATTAGGGTCAGGGTTAAGGTCAGGGTAAGGGTCAGGGTTCGCTCACGCACACGTGCCGCACTCACAGCTCTGTCGTCTCTATGTTGCGCGCCGTGCCCTCGATCGTCGCGCAGTACGCCGACGCAAACTTGGTGATGATGTTGAGAAGGGTCTGGCCGCGATCGTCGACGGGCTCGCCGAACGAGCTCAGCAGCGTCTGGAACTGCGACGCCATCACGTTGACGCGCGTCTTCAGCTCCGGCAGGCAGTCGCGGATGTGGTGCATCAGTAGCTGTGGAGAGAGAGAGAGAGGGGAGAGAGTTAGTAGGTGTGGAACAAGGAGAGGGGGGAGGGAGAGAGAGAGAGTTAGTAGCTGTGGAGTGACAGAGAGAGAGAGGGTAGGAAGAGGGTGAGAGAGAGAGACAGTAGCGGCAGGCAGTCACAGATGTGGTGCATCAGCAGCTGTGGAGAGAGAGAGAGGGGGGAGAGAGTTAGTAGGTGTGGAACAAGGAGAAGGGGGAGGAAGAGAGAGAGAGTTAGTAGGTGTGGATTGACAGAGAGAGAGAGAGGGTAGGAAGAGGGTGAGAGAGAGACACAGTAGCGGCAGGCAGTCGCAGATGTGGTGCATCAGTAGCTGTGGAGAGAGAGAGATGGGAGAGAGTTAGTAGGTGTGGAACAAGGAGAGGGGGGAGGAAGAGAGAGAGAGTTAGTAGCTGTGGATTGACAGAGAGAGAGAGAGTAGGAAGAGGGTGACAGAGAGACACAGTTGTGCCAGGCAGTCGCGGATGTGGTGCATCCGTAGCTGTGGAGAGAGAGAGAGGGGAGAGAGTTAGTAGGTGCGGAACAAGGAGGGGGAGGGAAAGTGAGAGAGTTAGTAGGTGTGGATTGACAGAGAGAGAGGGTAGGAAGAGGGTGAGAGAGAGACACAGTAGTGGCAGGCAGTCGCGGATGTGGTGCATCACTAGCTGTGGAGAGAGAAAGGGGCGGGAGAGAGCTAATAGACCTGTGTGGAACGACGAGAGGGGGAGGGAGGGAGGGAGGAAGGAAGGGAGGTGGGAGAGAGAACAGTGACAGGTAAAGGAAAAGACAGATAAAGAAAGAGAGAGAGAGAGAGAGAGAGAGTCAGTAGCTGTGGAACAACGAGAGAGCGATGGGGAGGGGGTAAGAGATAGAGAGAGAGAGCGAAACCAATAGCTGTGGAACATGAGATCATGAAAAAAAAAGTATTAGCTGCAGATTATTATCCCGTCATCAAAGTCGATAATTAAGGGAGATGAGTGGCTCACCCTGTTGAGCGTTTTCGACAGGTAGAGGGAGCCATTGCGGCTGGCGAGCGACGGGTATTTGCGCTGTAGGAATCCAGCCTCGTCTTTCATTGCCTCTGCGATTTTCTGAAGTCAAAAACCCCGGCGAAACGTCAATTCTCACTTATATATGTATAATATATAGGTAATATATATAAATATATATATATATATATATATATATATATAAGAAATAATAATAATAATATAATA